CAGGCTTCCATACCTCTTAAACGCCTGCCACTGCTGATGATGGTATCAAAGGCATCAGCAACTGTCCCCAAAATTTCAGCTTTCCTGGCAACTCCGTAGTTTGGGGATCGCTTGAGTGGACACACTGCACTGCATCTGTCAAACGATGCATATAAATGTAACTACAGCTGTGCGCTGTTTGCGTTTAACCCAGCTCGCGAAATGAGCAGAAAGAGGTTCCCAAGAGGTTCCCACCAAGATCATTTTAGTCCATGCCCCTCAGGGTGGTAGGCTGTGAATCCGCCAAGTACTGCAAGCTGGAGCGGTAAGGTGGCTTGAGAATACGAAGTGCTGCAATGCGTTAGGCAGTTCCTATCGGGTGAATTATGGAGTCCCAGAGATGCCCAATCAGAGTGTTCCAGAAGCACTGTTGTTGCGAGTCATGAGCAAAGCGAAATGGAGTGGCAAAACGGGAGGCAGGGGTGTGCAATTGTGATGTGATGGTTATACCGGGGCGTCAGGTTTGGGAAACCAGGAAACAGAGAGACTGGGCTTTGATCCTGAAAAGGTGAAGTGTTTTCTTGTGCACGGCGAACTCCTACAAAAGGGGCCTCCCGTGTTTTCAGTTGGAGTCTACCACAAGTCGTAATAAACGATTGATCGCCCACATGTCGGAGGACATGTTCCACCCTTAGTTGATCCTCGAAAGCCCAATGAGAAAAATATGTAGAGTTGTGTACATGCACGACTATTGTAGGTTGTTTGCGCTCGCGACACAATTCCCCGTGAACTATCGGGCGCACCCGGGGTTCAGCTGCATCTCTTTTCTCAGTAAAAGTACACTTTTTGGCCTCCAGCAGCAGAACATTCTGTACACTGTGAAGTTCAAAGCAAGAGTGGCGCTCTACCTCCTTCGCAAATGCCAATCCGCCGATTGTCCTGGTGTTTACCTGCAAAAGCCAGGCACTGCTGCGAATGTCCAATCATCTAGGCCCTTGCATGGGGCCAAGCCAGTATGCGGCTCATTCCTATGTCTCACTGAAACTGCCAACAATGGGTGCTTGTCTTGCCAGCCGCCGCCGGAGAAGAAGCAGTGGTTGGCTGCCCCAACAACTGGAGAGCGAGTAACCAGTGTGGTCTGAGTTAATTGCGCTCGGCTTATCAATTTAACTGTTAGATTTGTACCGAACCCCGCCTCTGTTGTAGCAAAGAGGTTGCAAAAAGTGAGCGTTCACTGTGGTGGGTTGGTCTTCGCTCTGCTGGCAATGCATATAGATTTGACCCCTCGACTGCAAGTTGGCCCTAATATGTTATTTATTGCTTCGTTTTGTCGCGATAAAAAGTTGACCCTGTAGTCTTTTGGATAGAGCTAAGATCCACCTTGCTTGAACAACCTGGGGAAACGCCAAAAAAGTGTCTCGGCATTAAAGCATCCTTCTGGGTAGCAACTAACTTCCGCACTCCCTCTATTCTTCTGCCACCTCGCAAGATCCGATACTCCTAACAGCAGCAGCCGCGCACTTTGAAAACTTCTTTTCTGCTGAGGGCCAATGGAGAAACACCGCCCTATATGGGTCCTTAACTCTCAATGTTTGGAATCCAGCAAGAACTCCTGCTAGAGAAAGCGCGCAAATTAAACTCCTGGAACCTGAGTACTGCGATGAAAGGTGGCGCGTTGCCAAGCGCGCAGCGTGAAAGTTCATTTGTTCCTGCGCTTCTATCCATGCTGCCTCCATTCAAAAAGTGGCATCACTGGGATTGTTGCCACTCGGTATCATCACGCATGAATTGCGCCCATGCTCCTCTCCTTGTGGATGGAACTGCAGAAGTGCACAGAAGGACTTGCTTCAACCGAACCAACAGTGGTGCTGGAGGACGCGCGCCACATCTATAGAACTCCAAAGCATACTGCAGAAACTGAGCCAAAAGGACATTCTGCTGTGCTGTGATACGTGAAGCAGCAGATTCACGCGGACCCGTATAGACGGGAAGCGTGTCGATGACCGACTGCCACCATTGTTGGCGATTAGCACTTGCTCCTAGTACCTCGCTCGCCGCGTATACCGCATCCGTCACCAGCATTGCAAACGCAAGTCTCTCCACAGCATACTTGGGTTTCAAACCGTCGACATTCTCCTTTACACGACAACGGCAATGGCCGACGAGCCTCTCAAGATGTTGCATTAGACTATGGAGGTCTTTCGAGACCAGCACAGGCCTCTTCAGAAGTTCTTTAATCCCCAGCAGTGCTCTGGCTTCACATGGCGTCCTACGGCAAGGCAAGCCCTTCTGGAGTTTTATATCTCTCACCTTGGCACCGGGTGCAACACTTGGGAGTCTACAGAAGGGATGCGTTGTGATGTCCTTGTCGCCCAGCCTCTGTTCCGACCCTGGGGCAGCTACAAGAGGGACAGAGATGATTGCCAGGGCTGGCCTTCCCTAACAAACAATTCGATGGACACAGCACGCAGATGCTCAGCTCTACACACTACAAATCAGAGAACACGGCTACAGATCATGAACAAAGGAAGTCAAAAGCAGATATTAAGTTCACACTTTTCAGGTGCACGCGCAGGGAATGCACTGCAGCATTGTGCAGCCGCTCGCATCCGTCATTTCCATCCCGTAGTGTTCTGGACACTGTGTGTGTGTGTGTGCTTGCTGTTCCTGGTTTCACAGAAACCCTAGCTACTCTGAGTCTTTCTGCCTGAGCCGGCCTCAGGCGGGAGCAAAAAGGCACCGACGACGACGTACCTGGAAATCCGGAATCTCACTACCCACGATCATATAGGCTCCTTCGGTGCCTGGACTGCCGCTTATATACTTGAAGAGTCGGGAACTTTCACGTCCGCCTTCCGCAGCAGGCTGTAAAACGATGGTGCCTTGGGAAGTAACACTTACTTTTAAAGACGGGACCGCTACGCTTGAAGGTAGTTCGCTGCACTGCGTTGGCTTTTTTCTTTTCCGCTTTTTGCCTAGGACAAGGCTACCAGTGGAAACCGTTTCGGGCACAAATAGTACTACAGCACTAATCCCGGAGGTGGAAAACTGAACGGGAGACCCTGTTCCTACATTCGTAAACGCGGAGATGGCAGCAACACTGGGAGGCGCTGCGGCCACAGCAGTAAAACCGGAGGCAGAAGGCTCAGCGAGAGGTCCTGTGGCCACACCAGGGAACCCGGATGCAGCAGACTCAATGGGAGATCTTGTGATGGCAGCAGGGGGTCCGGAGGTGGCAGGCTCAGCGGGAGGCCCTATGGTCACGTCAGTAATGCCGGAGACAGCTGACTCTGGAGGTCTTGTGGCCATAGCAGTGAGCCCAGAGGTGGAAGGCTCAACGAGTTGCTCGGTGGCAAGGGACTGGAGGGTGTGAAGCGAGCGCGAACCTAGTTCTTCGCTTAATACATGCAATTCTTCGAAGGGGTGTCGTAGCCAATCTTCTTCTAAGCCGTCATTCTTTTCAGCTAGCGTCTGCTTGACATACCAGAGGATTTCTTTGCGGAGTTTTTCAGCATCCTCTCTCTGTCCTGCAGACTCTTCTGCACTAGCGACAGCGTGTAAAGTTGTGTGTGAAGTACCCTTGTGCCACTGGAAGTCTTCCTGCCTCTTTTTCTTCGGCGGGTCCTCCTCATCATCACTCCCGTCACCCAAGGGGTCTGCCCCTAATAGTCCTCGTGACACCCTGGCGCTGTGAGTGGCTGTTGTCCACTGGGATTCTTCTTCTCCGCATACTTGTTGAATGAAGCATGCACTCTCATCGCGGTTTGTCTCTCTTTCTTTAGCCAGCCTCCTTCCCACGCGTTTTAGTAACGCCTCCCTACTCAACGCGACACAATGGAGCACCACGAAAAGGATAGCAACAACTGAAGCAAATGCAGCTAGAGCAAAGGCAAAAGGACCGTTGCTCCGTTTGCTATGCAACAAGTTGGACGAACCGCCGTCCACATCTCCTCTTCCTCGCTCCCTTCTCGACGCTGTGGGGGGCAACAAAAATTCGCCCAAAGGGCCCTCACTATATCGGGCAGTCAGAGCCCAAGATTCAGACATTGACCAACAGCTGGGTTGGAACTCCAACCACCTAATGCTGGTTTTTATTCCAGGTCAGGGACAGCTTATCAAATATATCTAGCCCCCGTTATCTCCCTTCCCGAACGTATGCTCACTGGGTTCCTTCAAATAGTGCTCAAGCATGCAGGTTTGAGCTTGCGATTCTTGAACTTGCACTCAACCTCTGAAGAGATTGTGAGATTCCCTAGGAGGGCGTGGCTGGTGAGGAATAACTGCAGAGAGCGACCCGATGATGCTGCATTCAAAAACCTCCATATCCATGGATTGCAGCGTATATGCCAGGTAATTCATATTTTGCTGCAGGTTGATCCATCTGTCTCACCAGACGGTGGCAATGTCTGGGGTTGGGGAACTAACTCACTGCACACTTTCTTGCCCGAGATACAAGGCGAGCCAACCCCACAATGCCATAAGCTACCAATATGACTAATTTTTTGACTGAAAAATACTGGGTATCATCAACTGCACCAGCGAAGTTAAGGAAGACTGCCCCGCAGGGGATCAACACTGGTTCAGGAAAGTCGGCCCGTGCAGAGCCGCTGCAGCGACTGCGTAGCATGGGCTGGTGAAGGAAACAACCAAAACTACTAGGTTGAAAGACTTTGATAGTTCCTAATTGAACATCTAGTCATAGAATTGCTGGCAATGCACTGCCGGGAGTCCAGCCAAACAAGCTGTGCAGGCTTTACCGCCCGGTGCCGCATCGACTTGTACCTCGGTCTCTAGCGGGTTTTCAGTACAACTACTGGTATGCAAAATGCAGAAATTAACTGCAATAGACGACCAGCATCTCTCGTGGAAGTGTTTGACTGTATTGTCCCCATGTGATGGATGGAATATAGCTATTTTCTGGATCGTGAACCGGCATTTTGCTATGCAAGGGAGTATCTCGCAATTCCGTGCATGCACGCTCACCGTGCCTCCACCACTTCAGCAAATAGTGATGAAAGGCCTTCTCCACTTCTGGTGGTGGTTCTTCTAGGAGTGCCGTGCTACTTATTTGCGAGCTGGCGAGCTTATAAATAAGATCTCGTTTTAAGAGGCTTCCATACCTCTTAAACGCCTGCCACTGCTGATGATGGTATCAAAGGCATCAGCAACTGTCCCCAAAATTTCAGCTTTCCTGGCAACTCCGTAGTTTGGGGATCGCTTGAGTGGACACACTGCACTGCATCTGTCAAACGATGCATATAAATGTAACTACAGCTGTGCGCTGTTTGCGTTTAACCCAGCTCGCGAAATGAGCAGAAAGAGGTTCCCAAGAGGTTCCCACCAAGATCATTTTAGTCCATGCCCCTCAGGGTGGTAGGCTGTGAATCCGCCAAGTACTGCAAGCTGGAGCGGT